TTCGTAAGAAATAATTACTTGCAATACGTCTTGAATCTGGATTCCGATGAATTATGTAATGTCCAACATTGTTGAGAAAGTTAATGAATAATAATAATAATAATAATAATAATAATAATTATTTTGATGTTGCTGGACCATCAGGACGACGTATCCGAAGAGGCAAAGCACGTCTTAAACAAAAGAGTTTGTAAATGAGCAACAGCCAAACGTGGGACGTCAAAACAAATGTTCCGATAGGTATCGGAGCTCAGAGATCGGTTCCGCAAAATATGTAAGAACTTGTCCCAACTCTCAGATCGTTCAGAAGACTGAGCCGCAGGACATCGCGTTGTTGGGAACAGTCCATATTTTGTGCAAAGTATTGTTGTATTACTATATCTGCTTTTGGAAGCTGGTTACTACATGGAGTAGATGTTTAACCAGAAGAAGGAAAAGAAGTCGTAGTAGTAGTAGTGGAAGAAGAAGTAGTAGAAGAAGAAGAAGAAGAAAAAGAATGCCGATCCGGATAGTCGGGGTCGCTAAGACTAGCGCCATAGCGATCTCGGACGTAAGGATCGCGGGTTTGAGTCCCGCCTCGGGCATGGGTGTGTTTGTGTGTGTATATTTGTGTCGTCCACTCATGCCTCGTTATTATCATCATTCCATGAACCAGCAACCCTGGGAAATAAAAATTGGATTCAGCATAATGCTGATCCCCCCAACAATAAGTCACACACTCTAGCCACGGGATAAATGTGCAAGATACTAAGGTCGTAAGTCCCGTAGGTGTAGTGCATGGTTTTGCTCTGGAGGTGGCGATGGTTTTCCCCCGCTATACGGCGAGATCCGACTTCAAATTAATGATGTAAGATGTAACTTCAAATTAACTCCATAGCACGTCATACACAGTTTTTAACTGTTTTTGACGTAAATAAATAAATAGACTCCGACCTACCGTATGCTAGCGGGATTTTCCTCAACCAGGTATCTCCCATCAGCGGAGCACCACCCCAGCCGAGACAAGTTCTAAGCTCCCGACCGGTCTCCCGGCATGTGTAGTAGTGTAGTGCATGTTAGTGTAAGTGTATGTAAAGGGTGAGGATATGACAAGGATCGCGCGTGGTCTGTGGTACTTTTGTTAGGGTACTGCTCCGGCATTCGCCTTGTTCAGGAAAACTACCGATCAGTGCAGCCGCACGCTAGAATACTCCTCTAGACAGCGACTGAACTCAACCTAGTTGACAAGCTATTGTCGAAAATCCTGCAACCGTCGGGACTCAAGCCTAGGACCTACCGGTCAGAGGGTCTGCAGTGACATCAGTTGATGCCCTGAGCCTTCGCTCCCGGTGCAGTAGCTTGTAAATGAGCATGAAGTGAATGCAGCTAGGAGTCCGACTCAAGTACCGATCAGTACGCGCAATCGCTCTATCGACCGTGCGTGGGAAGCACGCTGTCATCGCGCTTCGCGATCCGGCGCCGATGAAAGCGACTGGCCTCGGACCTGCCTGCGCGCTGACGGATAGCCGCTCGAGGGAAGCGCCGAAGAAGAGGGCCAGCGTCTTTTGTAGAGGAAAATCGTCGGCCGCCGCCGCCGCCACCGGCACCCATCGCTCAGTGCCTGGCCCACAATCAATACCGGGCGCCCGGCATCTCACGATTGCCGAACTTCCCTCCTTAAATTTACAGAGCAGCCAGGCAAGACTGCAACCAAACAGAGGGAGGTGATACCCTGTGAGGCCTTACATTTGGTGACCATAAGCATGGGGCAAACTGTAAGAGCAGCATGGTGGTATAGAATACATAGTATAACGAAAGAATTGTACATTGAGAGAAATGTAGTAGAATGTACTATAAATATTTAGTAAGCGATCATGTAGTAAATAGAATTATTCCTGTAGTAGGATTCACTAAACATGATTTAGTTTCATTTAGTAAATCAGACAATTCAAAATCGTAAGTGAATGAACAAAGAGAATTGTGAGAGGTACTAGGTAGATAAGATCATTCGGTGAGATCTACATTTCATGCCGTCACACTACTACACACAGTTTAAGGAAGCGCGCGTTATCAGCCATCCGACCAATTCGAAAGGTTATAGAGTCCATGTGAAGTGAGAGAATTCAATGCTCTATATAGAATTGTACGCTATATAAAGGGCGTGTTTAGTATTGTATTGATTTTAAATAATTAGTATGTTATATTCTAAATTAATGATAGAAATACTGTTGGTAGCTGAATGTCGCCAGCCTGCCTTCTTAACTGTTCTGCTTGGCCAGTCTGTCAGATAATCGAGTTTAAGGAAGTACAAGTCCACGGGGCCCTAGGATGGGTGACGGCTCCGGAACCCCAGTTGCTACCTGCTTGACGGAATAGAAAGAGAGTATTCCCTTTCGCGTTTCGTTTGGTAAATATTACTCGACGTATTGTTCAACGCAACGATTCGTTTACTTATCTCCACAAGATGCCATTCGTCACGGGTACGACCTGTATAATGAATATTACTATACGTGCATAAGTGTGTTTAAACAGCAATTTCATGAACGTGACTTAACACTTAGTTATTGTTAATATTTCTTTTTTTAGTAGCTATTGCCATAATTTCTTGTAGATGAGTGGTCTTCACTGTTGCCAATTAAATTGGAGCCCAGGCTTTGATTCCTAGGGCCAAATTTTTTCTTGACTTTTTTCTCGCATAGAGAACAATGCATTGATAAATATGGCTTAATAACCTTTTCATGAACTTATTTTAACATTTAAAAGTGTCAATTCGAATCTCTTGCACTTCTTATGCTGAAGTGAATGTTTCAAGACATGGCTGAAGTATTGGAACGACACAAGTTTTAATATTACATATCCATTACAAATTCAAGAAAGTATGTGCTGTTGAAGCACCACTACTTTCTGAAGTAGCAGGATATACAATTTCAACAAGAAGTAGAATAAAGTAACCTATAATATGAAATTTTCTGTTATTGTTCATAGTAAATTAAGATTAATTAAGTTTAGAAATTATAATATAATGACAAAGTGACACACATTTTCAGCTTAACTTGTAATTATTTTTAAAAAATAGTTCATAGCTTATTAAGCCTAAATAGTGCATTTTGACATACTATTTTAAACAACATAAATTTGAATCCTAACTAACATATCTGAGAAAACATGAAGAATAATTAGTAGAAGGGCAACAGATCTCTGCAAGCAATTCAATTCTCAGAGACTTAATGGACAACAACCAAAGTGTGCAAACCATGCTTTATACAATTTTTGGAAAAAATCAAGATGATTCAATGAAATGTGATGAAATAAAAAAAATGAGCCATGGTTACTATTTAGCATTCCAGACAAAAAAAAAAAAAATTGAAATATTGAATTTTTAGATGATATTGAAATAATTTTTTTAAACATTTATACAGAAACAATAGCCATAAGTGTTTTCTTATTTGAAAATAAGAGCACTTTATTGAACACTGAAAAGTAACAGGCAGAGGTCAAAATGTCTCACATTATTTCTTATTGGTATGTAGTTTTAAGAATTAAAGTAGACATTATAAAATGGAAACTAATCCTTGTGTACTGCAATAAATTAGCAACAGAAAAGAAAATAGCACCTGGTGACAGAAATACAATGAAGAAAAACAAACAAAACATTGAAAAGAAATTGTGAGAATCTAAGCAATAAAGGAATATCCAAAAATTGGAGCTAAAAAAATTTCAATCTCCTGCCTTTCTGTACTGTTATTAAATAGTTTTTTTTTCTTTTTTTTTTTTTCTTTTTTCAAGACATGTTTAGATTTATAATTTCTATGATTGTGAAGATGGATGAACATATGTTTAATAATTTTATTCATCCTTTCTTCACTAACAGAAGCTTTTTATTTTTATTGATTTTTTCAATGTTAATTTCATATTAGACATTTATAAAAATAGACTACGAATACTAGTTATCTACATTTCAGAAATATATTTTAATAACTATATGAATGCTCTTTTCTTGTTTAGAAATAACTTTACATTTCTACAAGATCTTAACCCATTTTGGAAATATCCTTTCAATGGAGGACTTCTCGTACATTTAAAATGTGTTAAGAATAAAATGGAACAATCATCTGACCACAAAATTAAAAAAAGAAAGGAAGACATCTCCACAGTTTAGATATGATGTAACACATAAGTGCTTACTCCAAAAATTATTAATCAAAAATATAATTTTTATACTTGAGCAAACTCTAATTGAATTGACTCTGAAATGATTCAAAATCCTTAACAGTTTTCTCTGTAAACAGAGGTTTAACTGTAGTGCGAATGAAAGTAATTTTGTTCTACAAATGTTTGTGAACACACTGGATTTGACATCTTAGTCTAGAATTTGTTTGACTTGCACATGTAAAGATTCGAAAAAGACCATTTCACTATCTTATATTAGCTTAGATTATAATCAGTCATTTTGTATTTAAACTTACTAGTACACCTGACTCACATTGCAAGAATTATGCAACTGGTAAAATAATTGCAATTGGTAAAATAATACTATCAATTTCAGTAGATTAAGCTGCACAATGAACATAATAATGCAAAAGAATATTCAATACACTTATTGAAAAAACAAAATTATCAGATCACATAAATGAAATAGAAGCAAAGCAGAGTAACTCAAAAATTTAAAGAAACAACAAAACCACAAACTATCACTTAGCACTCTGACTTGCATACTGAAATGACTAGCAATAAAGCATTTTGAAATACCACCATGTCCAACTGGAAGTATCTCAATAAATGCAGAAACTGAATCTTGTAAGGAGTTAAAAGTTCCAGTCTTCATCAACATTACATCTAAATGGAGAGCACCAGATAAACTTCAAATGCTCAAGTTTTGTTAGTCCCAAAACCATTAAAATGAATTTTGGTAATTAGTGAGTTATGATTTCTGTCCATTACTATTTTGTAAGATGAGCAGTTATGAAATAATATGCAGCACAATCGCCTTAGCATGCCTCTCTCCAGTGCTATTCTCTTACCACACTGTGACTGGTAACTTGAGAGTGCCTGGAACTAGGTGAATCAGCTGACATTGATGTTGAGTCAGAACCAGGGCCACGAACAGCATGACGACTTCTACTTCCTTTCACACCAGATGCTGACGGTGCTGGAGAACGCACATCTAGAAGCACGCAAACTATAATGTTCACAACACTGTTAGAGGAATGTTTCAAAGGCATTTTTCCTTTTTTGCTAGTTACCAATTTTTTGAAGTGAAATTTGAATTCATTTGGAAGCAAAGAGATGATCAAAAGATCATGGATCTATAACTCATTTTATTGAATAAAGATATTTCTTTTCCCCAGAATATGGAGATGATAATCGATAAATAATACGCATTAACCACCACTGACATTGGCAGCTGGCTATTCATCAAAAGGAACCAAAGATAAAAGAAGATAAAAATACAATTACATGTTGTTTGACTGTTGCTTATCCCAAAATATCAGGATAAAGTATGTAAATTTTAGTTTCAATTAAAATAATTTTATTTATCAAATTATAGATTCTATTGATTTGAAGTGGGATTAGAGAAAGTTCTAAATGGAAATGTAGACAATACAAATTTATAGCAAATTAAATTATAATGATTAATCGATAAGAATAAAAAACCAAAAGAGAAAACTGTCATTATTATGATTATTTCATGTCATTGCATAACTGCAATCTAGACATACAGGGTAAAACAATTATTGATAGTAACAGGCTCAAAAACCTGGTCACTGAAAAAGCCTGACTGTAAAAAAGCCGTAAGTAAGAAAATATTTTGACCCTCAAAAAAATTATGTATGTTAATTTATATTTAAATGTTCCCACTGCTAAATCAAATTAATATTTTTATACTATATTATTGAGAATGTGCTGATTGTCAAATAAATTTAAAATTATTTTGCCAATGATGACTCCATAAAACATATAAATTAAAGACTTATTATCAAATTGTTAAAAACATTTTACATCAAGATCATAACTAATTGAAGACATCCAAACATTTTTAAACAGGTTATTGAAAATGAGATTGCATGTTAAACCATCACCAACACAAGCGTACAACACATTTCCAAGACAATGATATATGAACCTACAAATATCTGAATTTGTAAATGTTTATAAACACATAAAAACAGATTCATTAATAAAAACTTTACAATATGGTTGCAAATGCAAAAACTGAAATATGGTTATACACACGTGTGCAGCTCATGTAATGTCAAAATTATCACTAATAGCTTGACGATATTCAAACTTTTGTACAAAGATGAATTGCAAAAGCAACACAAATGTTTTCATTAAGTGATTGTAAATGTTTGGATATCTTGAACATATTACTGATAATTTGATATTAAATGGTTTTAACAATTTTATAATAACTCTCTCATTGAAGCATTCTTGAGTAGTCTTCATTGACAAAATCAAATGTAACTTACACAGACATTAAACGTTCAATATTATGATTTGAAAATTAGTTAGTCTTTATCTGCTAATCACATTAACAAAATAGCAAGAAGTAAATTGTTACTAAATTTTATTCAAAAGGCAATTTTTTTTGTTTTATTGTACTAAAGCAGTCTAAGACTTGATTGACAGACTATATTATAAATAAACAAATTAATTATTTTGAGCAAAGAGGACCCACAAGTACAACAGTCAAGTGGTACAAGACATACAGCATTATCTCACATACTGATATCACACAGTAAAATGACACTTGCGCATCATAAAATAAAATTTTACATATGTTGGTAAATCAAGGTAAACAATGAGAAAATGTAATAACCCACCTGATGATTTGGAAGACCAAGGACTAGCGGCCAACCCACTCTGTGATGCTTGTTGAGGTGTGGACTGAGAGGAAGGTTGTGGAGTTTGCTGCTGTTGTGGTTGTTGCTGCTGCTGCTGTTGTTGTTGTTGTTGAGACGGTATCACAGTCTGTGCCTGTATCTCATCTGGTTCTTGAGGCTGTTGCTTTTGCTCCTGTTCAGGTTGCTTCACTTTTTCTTCATGTTGGTTTTGCTGCTGATTTTCATCGGGTTCTTCTTTTTGCTGTGTTTGTTCTTCATGGTTTGACTGTGACTCATTGGATGATACTTGTTCTTCCTGTTGGGACTCCTCCTGTTTTAGGTCATGGTCAGATGACTCAGGCTCAGCTGGTGGCTGTGACGATGAATCTTGCTGCTGCGGTTGCGATGATTGAGGTTGTTGGGATTGCTCTTCTTTGCTGTGCGTATCTCCTACTGAAACTTCACTTTCTCGACTACGGTCATTTTCAGTACCTTTCCTCAACTGTTTCATCACATCCACATAACTGCAATAATACACAATATTTTTTTTTCAGTTTTGAAGTTAATAAGGCACTTATTTTAAGGAAACACATTTGCTTTGTAAACATAACATTGTTAACATACACATGCTCACACTCACACACATTAATTGCATTAAAACTAACTTTCCCTGACATAATTCCTGAAATGTTTAAAGTAATATCAGCCTAAGGAAAAAAAAGAAAACCACCACCACACAGAGCCAACCCAACATTTTATTTCACTGCTCCATATTATTATACTTTTATTTGTATTTCTGTTAAGCCCTATGTGTTTTATTGCACTGTATTATTTGTAAGTGTAGTTAAACTGTATTATTATGTTACTATTTGGAGTAACACTCAAGATGTGTATTAAAAAAATGACTGCTGTTTGTATAGTAAAAAAAATAAAAGTGAATATCACTGCACTGACCAAACTCATCTCTCATCATTATAATTAAAAATGAGTTCTTAGTGCGATTTGATTTGGGTAAAATAGTAAAGAGAGAATTCACAAGTAACTTTAACAAACAACAATCCATTAGTAAGTTAAAACTTTTTCACACATACTACATTTCAAACAAAACCATAGGATGAGCGAACACTGACAAATTGATTTCCAATTTTTCACTTACATATCATCATCATCACTATTATTCTAGTTGTTATTGTTATTATTATTATTTTGGAATTTTAAAATTTATTTTTCAAAATGTTTCTTCAATTCAAGCACTTCCAAATACATTTGTTTGTTTCATGAATCAAAACATTCAATCACAACAGATAGTGTTGAAACCTTCACTCATGAGCCACAAAGGTTAAAATTATGTCATTAACAGAATCACAAATGTCAATGGTACTGCACCAGACAAGTTCATAGTATTACACAGAAAGGTGCCCAGTGTGATTCACCAGTGAAGTCGACAAGAAAAGACATAATGTTTGCAGTCTGATATAAAGTGAGCAATGGTAGATGAGATGGTCAAGAAATAGTTGATAAATGAAATTTTAAGACGTATAACATGAATGAATGACACGTCCCAAAAAACATGCAATATTGGAAACGCTGATAGAGACATGTTAATAATTTCTATGGTAATAAAAACTGCAATTACTAATACATTGGTGCTTTGCACAGTCTCCAGTGCACAATGTTCCAATCTGATTTCCAAAAGGTAGCAATTGATCTAGCACCGGAAGATCTGTGGAACTAGCATTTAATGGTAATAAATCTAGTCTTAAAAGGAAAATGTTATATAATCTGTGGAGCTCATCTTTCCCAACAGTTATGGTTAACATGTGTGTGCTCTAAGAAACTGGCAAAACAATGGAGCCAGTACATCATAGAAAAGTATGTTCATTGTGGATACCCATTAGGCAACATATGGCAAACAACAAATCGACTGATGTGTGATTATGAGTGATCAGAGAATATATAAATGAGGCTTCAATTTCAAAACAGTCTTGGCTTTTACATTAATATTTTTACAGATATTTATGCCAAAGTATCTAGTACATCTACATACAATGATGTTCTTCAAAAAGACATTTATTCAAGGCAAGTTCTCATTTCAGAGAAATCATTCAATGTAGAGACTTGTATTAACATAAGATTGTTCTGATATTTCAGAAATTGACTACACTTCTTTTGGAGGGGTGAGACAGAAATGTTTATATTTACTCTGAAAATCATATTAATTACTCAATTTGAATGTGAAACGTACTTAGGCTGCTCTTACATTGCAAAAATAGATCAATTAACAAATATAATGAAAAAATTTTGAATAATCAAATATGGAAAAATAATTTGATCTGTTATAATTTTCCTTACTAACTACCTTGCGTGGTTTCAACACCTAGAACAGAATCAGAAGTTATCAACACAATTTCCATTTCCCAATCAACCTAGAAAAATTCAGAACGTAGAAAAACCCCTCCATTCTCTCTCATTTCTTCATACGCCAATTATGTTTCAATATCTATGGCATATTTACAGTTTCCAACAGCTACATAAATCTCAACATGTGACTTGGTTATAATTTCACATTGTTGAGATACTATAAAAAAACATTTAATTTGCTTTCAAAGCAATTTCAGTACATTATTCCCAAGAACAGGGTTCATTCCAAAATATTCAACATAGTTATATCAGTACATAATGTTTCTTTGATCACTCTGGGCTGTGTACAGTATGATAAAATTAACCGATTAGTAAAGACAACCAATGACACAATTTATAGAATGTCAATCATGTTTTCTACAATGCCCAATGGAAAGGATCCTTTCCACATAAATGGACCCATCTTCATAGTTTCCCACAGGCACCTAGAATCATCAGTGAGCATTACCCCACTGTCATTTCTTTTCACAAAAATTTCAATGAGCTCCGTACACAAATTCAAAGTCAAAATTGTCCAAAAATTTTCAAATATGCGTCAGAAAACAAATTTTCAAAAGGAGAAAAGTTCACTAAAATATTATATATTACATGTCAAATTTAGGGAGCAAAATGTAGCTTTTTCTTGCTTATTAATGCCACTGACAGTTAGGACATTCGGCAGAAGATAATTAAAAGTTTCGAAGTGAAAATATCAGTTCCACCTATAACTATTTTTGAAAACATAAAAGTGATTAATTAAATCACAATTTAAAATTATTAACATTATTTTTTCAATACACATAGAACAATAATTATAATTCATGAAATGTTTAAAGTTTGAGATAAGCAATATTTGAAAAACTAGACATTTCATTCCCGAGTTATAGAAAATTTATTTGCAATGGTAAACAGACTGCAGATTTCATTATTCTGCATTGCTAACAAAACAGTAACTCACCCTTACTTCTATTCCTATCATTACAAGAAAAGGAGAATTCAAGAAAACATGTGCATGATGAAGCTACATTTACGTCCAGAAGCAAAACAAGGCTCTATCTCAGCATTTGCTCAATCAGGGAAACTGGAAAAAAACCTGATCGAGATGGGGGTCATTGATCCGGAAGCTGAAGTGCATTATTTCTAAAAAGCATATTAGGTCTTTTTTAAAAACAATATACAATTCCAATGTAAACTAATTAATTATATATCACTGTTTTGTTAAAATAAACATTATTTTTCTTTTTGATAATCAGTACAGTCTCTAAAGGTATAGAATCAGTTATGCAGCAGAAAAGATTTTACTTTTAACTTAAATTTGTGTACAGACTTCAGTTGTTTAATGTCATCTGGCAATGTGTTTTACAGTAACGTACACCTATTGTATGTGGATTTCTTGTAATGAGCTGTTGATACTGACACTTGATGAACATGATTTCTACAATGTGTGTTGTAATTATAAATATCAGTATTGCATGACACTATATTCCCACTGTTAAGTAAGTCAGTAAGATATTATTTTTTTATTCATAATTCAAGGAACAATCAAAACCAAAATATATCCATTTATAAGAAAAATAATGGAAAATAAGTGTGTTAAACAAAAATATCTTCAAACATGCAGAAACAATGAAAAATATTTAAATCATTTAAATCTTGAATTATGAATTTGTCAGTGTCAGAATGAATAATTGTATTCCAAATTTGATTTTTGAGTTCCTAACTTATTTTTGTAGTATTTCAATTAATATTCTTGATTGAAGTAAAACAAAATCAGCTTTGCCAAAATAACAGTAACCCTACTCCATATTCATGCTAACTGTAGTTGAGTAAGTACAACCGAACAAAAGGCGCTTAAATAAATATTACTACTTACTAATTAATGCTATTTTCTATAAAAGTATAAAGACACTAATATTAGAGCCTATTCTTCAAGATCTATAATAGTTATTTTGTAACTAATGAAAACTGTATTATACCTATTACCTTCCTACCATGCAAACAGCCTGTATGTTTATCAGAAAACATTTCACATTTTACTGAAGGTTACCAACAGCACTATAGGTGCACAAAAAAAGATATGTAATTGGCAATGCTCTTAAGATGTTGCAGCGAAACGTTTTCAAACATATTCCCAATACAAGTGAAGGAACCAAAGGATGAAATATAAAAGCAGGCTTCCACGGACACTCATGTGAATGCTCTCAACTGTCAGGGTGATGCTGCATTTAGGGCAGTGGTGCCTAGGCATCACTGCCCGTGGCATGGTGTCAGCCAGAAAGCTGAAAGCCTTCACAGGTAATATTAGACTAAGCTGCTTTAATATTGTTCTTAAATAGAAGAAGCCACTAGCTAACAACAATTCAATACCACACTTTTCACAGGTGGTATATGTTAATAAATCACAAGAAATCATTGGTATCTTTGTTTTTCGTGATGTGTCATATTACCACAATTTTTTGGAATTTAATATATTGAGGATGCTAGTTAATTTTTTTTTGTTTTCAGTCACTTTGCATTATTTATGATTGTGTAATCATCATCCTAAAGACAAGAATGCCTTGCTGCCGACATGACATTGTTTCTTGGTTTGTGTCCTATGTGCATCTAATTTGTGTATTATAGATGTGTTTTTCGACTATTATTTGCAATTCAATTAGCCTATCTAATGTGTATTTAGGTTTAATTTACATGAGTGAATTAATTTCTAAGTTCTATTATAATGTTCTGACAGAGGAAGACAAACATGCAAACGATATTTCACTATACGTGCCGCACCAAGTTTGCATGACCTTCCCTTTTATTGTACATGATTCACAGCCATACATGACCCTATGTTAGGCAATTATATCGTGGAGTATCAAGTTTTGTTTTTAGTCCCATGCCTCTACCAAAACATCTTTAATTATACCACGAATTCAGTTGGAGCTACATTATTTCTTTTCTCCTGAATGTGGTTAAACACACTTATGATATTTTTGAGATATAATTCATTTACTTCTTGATGTTGCTTACTGGACTGACAGGCCATGGGCTAATCAAAATAGTTCATTTATAACTTTAATAGTCAGGCTAACTAGTAAGCCAGGAGCCGACCAGGAGGCTCGACTTGTGCCCTACTGACACAGAAAATGTCTGCCACAGATGTAGACGAAACATCTCAAAGAACCATTCCGACCAAACAACGGCGTATCAACTGAGTTATCAATATTGGTATTGATTTCACATTGTTTTATTAATTAATTTGTTTTCTCCATTTATTATGTTGGCTTTTCTTTGTTCTTTACCTTGTTTAATAAACATATATATGAAATTTAGCATTACCATTAACAAAACTGATGGTAAGAAATTACTATGACGACACAAATACAAGCTGATATACTAAAAGTACTTAGTAACGTAGAAATAGAATTACTGACCTGAAAATAAAATGAAATGCAAATACTTGTAAAGTATGAAACCATGCACTCAATTGTTTTCCATGCTTCACAGTAGCGAGTGTATTTATCTCTCTATACAAGACAGTAATAAAGACTCAAATAATCACTTACCTTAGATTCTTCGCTGTCTGGGAGATGCTGTGTCCTCGACCCAGTTGCCAACATTTTAGCCATCATAAACACAGAGGAAGGTCGCAATATGACAGCTGAAATATTGGCAACTGAATCTACAACACAGCATTTCCTGGACAGACAAGAATCTATCGGCTCCAATTGCGGAAGCATAATCTTTCAACCACTTACCTTACAACACGATGAGTACAGACAATAAATTCAGGTTTAGAATTCCACTGATGATACGTGATGTAAAATCGGGTCTGAAGCCATATCCATTGCTGCCCTTTCGTAAGAAAGCGGTAGTGGCAAGATGTTCCTTCGCCTTTCTGCATTACTGAATCAAGTATATTTTTTAGTTTTAAATGCACAAATTCACTGACAAAATTTTAATCTTATTATGTATCACTTACAAGCTTCATGACACGTAACAACTTTTTCTAAGTCATCAACATGGTAGTAATCATAACCTGAGGTACCCAAAACTTCAAATGGCAGGTAACCAATGATGGGTGGAGCTCTAAAACCAAGAAATCAAATTATAATAGGGAAATTAAGATTCTGTGCACATTATTTTTGCAACACTCAAAATCTCACCAATAAAAAACTGAAAAATACATTTCACATTGTAAATGTTCATTTGAGATACAAGACCCATCCTATTACAACTGGCAAATCAAAATGAAGATAGCTAGTTGTATGAAAAAGGTATGGTATCTACACAGGGCATAATGTAAATAGGATATGTTCTTACAACCAATTTGCATTAGAAAATTAAGAATGGATCTACAAAATTATTCATTTTAATACAGCACAGAATAACAATATTAAGGAATAGTAAAAGTTACAGAAATAAAATAGCATGTTGTGTATTGTGCACATATGAACTCGATGACCACCTTATCAACACGAGAACAACAGTGAATAATAATATAATTGGTCTAGGAAAAGAATAAAATATCTCGTTTTTGGCTAATGCGTAACAATATATACATATATATCTAATCACATCTTTCTCTTAATCCAAGACAAATCTACTCAGTCTAAATTCTGTACAGAGCTTGGTGACGGACTGCTCATCGCAGATTCTGTACTCTATATTGCTGAAGGCCATTATGGAACTCAAATACCGATGAAATAATAAGCTGCAATGATGATAAATATAATTCCTAATTATATTTGCAGATGTATTGTTGTCATCCATCACGAATTTGCCAGGTATTTCAGACCAATTGTTTTGAATGGGGCCAGTAAAGAAAGAATCTCAAATGAATGGCATTGCAGTACAGGACATGCTACCCAACATGAAAATGAATTGTTCCCAAGATTTTGTTACATGATTCACACCGCCACGCAAACTCTCAGTTCGGTGCTCGGTGAAGTGTGAATCTGCATTTTGCAAGAGGTGGATATGAAAAAAAATTGCATTCATAGAAGTAAACATTCTACATACAACCACAGAGACAGATTGATACAAAAATCATGTTACTCATGAAAAGGAGATCTACAAGTTTGCTGTTTACAACTAGATCACATAAACATTAAGCGATACAAGCTTCAATTATATTCAGTTAAAGAATGTGAAAGAACTGTTACAGAATCAGAGATCATGAACAAGAGAGTGGAAGGAAGAAAATCTGGTGACACAGCAGGGAATGATCCTAAGATGGCATCAAATGAAAAACAAACGCAAATTCAATGCCGAAAACTTTCAAGATCTAAAAAGTCAGAGAATGAGACAGTATGGGACCAACGAGAAAGAACAATGAAATTGGGATAATTTTAAAGAACAAGAAAATAGTGTTAGCTTAGAGTATACCAAGTTTTAACATTTTCATCAACAATAATATTTTCTAGTCAATTACACAATTAGTAATGTTATTTTGACTAAATAGTAAGAATTATTTAAATTTCAAAAAATAAAAATTAGAAGGCCTCTTCCAAAAAACTAAGGGGTCATCTTACATTCAAAGTGACTAATATTCAGGTAAAAATGGTAAATTATAGATTAAGAATACCAAACCTGTGGTCAAGAAAAAGAAATTTCCATTCAAGGCTATGGCGTGATGTAAATTCGCTTTTGGTTGAATCAACTACAGACATTTCTCTTATTAAAAGGGGTGTCTGTAATCTTCCAGTACCAACGAACACCAATCTGAAAGAAAAAACGAGAAAAATCAAAGTACATTTGTAACTATCAACCAATAAGTGTACAGGATGGAGAGTTACACAGTTTGAATTCTTATATTAAAAAACACACACACAACAACAAGCAAAAAGAGAAATACATATGCTGCAATTTTTCCAACTCAGCCCTTGGCATGTATCAGATGTTGAGGTTTCATCCATTTGGAACCTTAAATGTCATATGGTGATGTTAAAGTTCCCGATTGCAATTGTCAACAGCAAATACCTGCCAGGGGCAGAGTTGTAAAAATCACAGAATAATGTTAAGTGAAAAAATTGGTCCATAAGATAAATCTGTTAAAATAAAATTTCCAATATATTTTATGTCATCAAACTCTAATGAGTTTTTTTCTGTCCATATTTTATTTAATATCCCATTCAACTTTTTTTACAAACTACTTCTCCCACACATTTATTCAGGATTCTTGTCCCAATTAAAAATGAAATGAGATATCCCTGTTTAAAAAAATTATTTTAGAAGAGTTAACACCATCAATTAAACAAGTTCCAACAATGATGAATTCAAATAAATTTTGATTTGAACATGATATGTAGATACACACTAATTTTCTTCATATAAGATTTCTGAACTTTAAAATTTACTGAAAAAGATATGAGAGTAGAAGAACAATCATTTTTTAAAATATACCTCGTATCAGGTTCTCCAGACACATTGCTATAACGACTACTACTAGAGATCAGATTGTCGACTTCTAAGGGGTCTACATCTGTACCTGTAACAAATAGAAAAAGGCTATAAAATGTAAAATGTGTGAATTTTATTTTTACATACATAAAAAGTAAATACTACTTACGAAAATATCCAACAAACTGAACAAGCTCATAAGTTACTTCTTCTCTAAAATCAAGTCCTCCTCGCTTAAGATGACATGAAAATGAGACTTGATTCTCTGTAAAAAATTAAAACAATATGAAATGTAATAATTTAGAATACTTATTTCTCAAATAAAGAGCTGATAACAAATGGATGAAGTTTAATAGAAATTGTACTAAATTTCAAGTACAAGTAATAACAATGACCAATACAATAAGGATATCTCTAGTAAAATATTCATAGTTTTTATGTGTGCACAATAAATATAGTAAAAGGAACATTAAAAAGAAAACATCAATGTCAATAATCAAGTTTTGCAAAACAAGAAATTCAAGGCAACATCTGAAATGTGAGATAGATCCAATCAGCTTACACAGCATAAAAAACAAAACAAGTTCAACTAGAGAACTCATTTAATAAAATGTAGTTAAAAAATATGAGTAAATCTGTTCAAAAACATACCTTTGGAATCATCATACTGCGCACCATCAACACAATTGGAGGGATTCAAAAATACATTGTATAACGATGACTGATCTTCCTCATACACCATGTCATAGATTGTCATATTCATAAGATCACTCTGTACACAAAATAAATTCTTACATAAATACCTTTAGAAATATATAGTGACAAATAACTTATACACACTGTACCATTCATCATGCAACCCTGTCTGTGCAGGCATTCAAGGCTAAATGCACAAACGTCAAGCGTATTGCGCTTCTTTGCACTTAGCAATAGAACCAATGCCTGACTTTCCTTGGGGAGTGAGTTCTGATCTTCTTCTCATGCCAATGCTTCACATGAAAGAAAGAATTCAACGCATTTGCAAGTTAGCAGTGGCACCTGTCAGCCCCCATTTTCATCCTGCTCAACGTAGACATTTTGGCACGTGGTGCTGGTTACTCAACAGGTCGCATATTAAAAGGTACACTGTTACATTTATGTACAAATTGTATGTATTATAAATACGAAATTATGAATAACACAAATTTTAAATAATCTATTATATATAACTAACATAAATCTCTAAAAATAGTAATGATCAGTCCTGTGCCCTCGCCCTGTGACAGTGATATATTAAGAGTGAAAATTATTAGTAATTCAAGGAGCACCTAGGATTTTTCTCTGGGGAGGGTTGTAGTGCCCTCCTGTCTTCATGTTTTCTTATAAAGAATTTTTACATTATATTGTATGTAAAAACTATTTTGTTTTCTTGATTTATTAAGTGAGCCTTCTCATTATGTCCACCATTGTTTGTAATACATGATTTTATGGTTGATTAGATCTTCAATAGTTATAAATAAGAATTCCAATATATACAAATCTTACAAAAACTAAGAATTCAATTTAATGAATACATGTCAGCAAGTATAGTAATCATGCAGTGGAAAAATATTGGGAACACAATTTTTCTACATATGAGATAGATAAAAAGCAAATAAAATAGTTATTTGAAGTTCTTTATATTGCATTTACTAAAAACATTTGTATAGGATGAATTAGTTAATCAATTCAGAACTACATTTGCTAAGCTTACTTAATTCTTCTTCACATGAAAATGTTTCAGTATTATGTGCACATCAAATTTATATTTATTTACACTTATACGTACAGGAAGATGACCCAGAAGAGAAGTGATGCTTTCTGAAGCATAGAATATTCTACCCGAAGAAGAAAATACCATTATAAAACCGTCCAGTGCCTAAAATAAGAAAAAGAATAAATTTTTGTAAGAGAACATCCAGTAAAATAAAGAAAACTTACTGTTCCGTATATTTATAATATACTTACTTCTAGAATTAAATGAGTAAATTCTTCGTTGGAGAGGAATGATGGTTTCCAATCCTCCTGAATTTCATGAGCACGTGATCTCACAGCAATTTCTACATTCAATGGAAAAACATTGTCAAATATCTAATAAAAAAGTTAATCAATAATCATAAAAATGTTTGTTATGATTATTGATGGATAGCAATAATGTCTACATCACATGTTACTAGATTCTTGGTAGATTAAAAATATAGTAACGAGATATAAATAACGGAGAATACAAATTCTACAAGAAACATTAGGAACAACTAAAAGTCCAAACATTTAACACAAAGTTAAGAATGAGTAAAAATATATGTACTATATGGACAATGCTTTGTGTCTGTGAACCCTGGTAGACTTTGTGAACCAGTGTCGTCCTCTCAAATAGTTATACATCCTGTGCCATTAACCAACATTGAGACTGTATAAACATAAAAATTCTTATAATTATATCTCATTGAACCTAAATATACCTAATTCAAATAATTTCCGAAAATTTAAAACTTTATTAAAAACTATAACATTTCTTAAATAATTGCTGCTTTTTTATATTATTAATTTATCATATTTTGATTTCTTGTTTGTAAAAGATGTTTAACAAACCAAGAAATTTGTAAAAGAAGTTTTCAATTTAACTTACACGCATACACAAATTTTAAGAAAAGCGTTCACACAATAATATCTCAAGAATATTCAGCATTCATTACAATGAAATTTATTCTCTATCTAACCTAGTAATTGATTCATTAAATTAATCAATAATTAACTTATATTTATTCCATTACTAAATTTTTGTTTAGATTATTCACACTAAATATAAAGAGATATATTTATGAGAATATTAACATAATCTAGAATTAATTTTGTAACAACCGAAAATGCCGTCAATGTCAGGACCATTGGGATATCACAAAGTAACAATGTCACCAGTAAATATTAACATGTACATTGATGCTTAATATTAGTGATAAACGTAAAAAAACAAGAGTAACATTAAAAAAATATGTACAGCATATATTTCCATATCTCAAATGGAATAATAAAATAAAATAATAATTTGAGTTATTAAAAATATAAACACAAGGCACAATTTCCTGAATGACATGTGTACTGGAAAGATTAACGGGCCGTCTATTATTATGTAATGCTAAAGTGTGTGTGTGTGTGTGGGGGGGGATTTTGAGGTAGCATTACGCTGCGTCACGTAGGGGTAGAGAGGTGTTATGTTTAGTTACATAACGATTATATATTTTATTTTAACTTTTTAAAATTTGATGAAGAAATTTTTATTCTGGCTTCTAGTAAAAAAATTAAATATTAATAGTTTCATTAATTTTTTTTAATTAGAAAGTTACGGTGCATACATCATTACAAAAAATTAAAATATTTTTTTATCATTTGTATATTGATTGAATGTCTAAGACTGTGAAGAAATAATTCAAAACTGATCTGCAGTATATTCCAGAATCCAATAAAATTTGTGCAGTAGATTATGACTCCTGCGTCCTCTATGAAATGTGTTCTTAGCTTGCCATCACAAATATTCTTGCTTATATATTCATCTTTCATTCAAAATTTGTCTTAAATCTTATTGTTAGGTGCAGTCAGAATCATCATCAACTAATACTAACTTTAACCATTATAAATTTTAATACACAACATACATAAAATTAATACAAAATATTTTTTCTACTATACAATTTATTTTTAATTATTGTAAAAGGGGAGGGTGTGTTGTCACAAGAATTGCATAATTATTTAGGGAGGGTGCAAGTGTGTGTTACAGGAGAGACAGAAATCTTTCAAATTACTCCAAATTTGCATTACTAATTTATAGACAGTCCCTAAAAGGAATATATTCTCAATATTAAACCTTTTTTTTTTTTTTTGAATTTCACACTAATTTTTAATTGAATTTTTCTTAGCCTTTTGCCCCTTTGCTACTATTGCACTTCAAATACTACCACATACATAATTCCCCACTGAAACAGTAATCATCAAATTGATTCGAAATTTACATTGCCCTGTGAACCATACTGTCAGAACAGTATTTCCACCACTTCTGCTTGAAACATTTTAATACATGTTAAGAAAAATTTATACACACTCTATAAAAACCTTAAAAGCGAGTTACTGGATCAAAACACTTTTCACAAAACATTCAACTAACAGGTTAAGGAGTTGTCATCAAACTGCCATCACAATGAAGAAAACACAGAGAGCATAAAAAATCATGACACAGTTATATAAGTTCGTACAATTATTACTCGAAGCCATGACTGCACACAAACAATATTTATATACATAGTAAACTGATGAGCACACTGACGTTTCACGGAAGCTGCTCTTTCCACATTTTCTTTATGACCTCAAATTTAGATTGATCAATTACTCAGAAGAATGTACACTTTTCACATGACACTTTATATTTATTACATATTTGATGCACTCATTTTATAAAATTAACAATGGTGTAATGAATTTCTCTTTTATAAAAAAAAAACACACGTACACAAAACTCACCATTGTGATTTTTAAGGAAAGATATTGTTGACTTTAGAACAGTAGATTTATCCATTTTACGACTGTTGGTTGATACCATAGAACTCAACTCATTAATGAGCATGTTGAATTGGTCTCGTCGCTTCTTTTCACTCAAGTTTCGAGACTTTCTATAAAAAAAGAAATAGATATTCAACATTTAGATTAATATTGCATTATTATCAAACCAATAATTTACATTAACCATAGGGGTATCAATTCATCAGCATATAACCTCACCGCTTAGTATCATCCTTGTCATCACCATCTTCATCCATAGTATCACTGCAAAAATAAACAATCATAATGTTGAAACAAATATTAAGAAGGAAACAACATGAACACAAATTTAACCCAAAATGACATCTGTGCAACACCCAGTTCAGCGAGTTAACCTATTTGATTACAGATATATTAATACTGAAATCGACATGACAACCCCAAATCTATAATTTATTCCACATGTGTAGTCCATGCAAAGATATTAAATTAGTTATACATAAGTTTTAATGTGTTGCTTACTCTGATCTCCTCGTTGAACCTCGTTTTATTAAGTTTGACATAGCTATTGAATTTTCAGCTATTTCCGGTCACACTGTACATAATATATTCCTATAAAACTCTTACACTTCACTGACATCTTCAGCGTTAACCTCTTCATCATTATTCCAAGCCCGAGACAACTACACAAGGTTACATAAATGCTGTTCACAAGAACCAAGTAACCTTCATTTTGATTTCGTCAAGTTAAACGATTTTCCATTGCAACATCAATAATACTCCCACTCGGAAAGAACAACGCAACCAACGAGGATTTAAAAGCGTTTTAATTCGAATATCATATAAAGAGGTGGAACATATATGGGTCAAACACAACATACGTAATCACAACAACAACAACAACAGGACACCATTCGCCCCTACAGCTTACGGATGTACGGGAGTCATTGAAGGTTAACTTCACAGCTGTGGCGTCAGGTTTATTCTGTGGTAGTCCTGTAAATTTAAACGAAAAGGCGCGCGTGCAGTTGCGAAATGGTTCAATTTTCTTTGCCAAGAACGCAGACAGGTATTCATATTACCACTTATAAAGTAAGCATCATGACGATCGTAAGATAAAAAGAATTTTCATGAATCTCTAATATTTACTATAGTTAACTAGCAATCGCGATTCAATCATTTCTTCATTTTCAATAACCGTCATGACTTTTGAAAATTATCAAACCCTCTAGGAGAGATTATTTTTAATTTGTCCATCGTTCATTAGGACCTTAAGACACCTTCATTGTAATTCGGATTGATTTAATTCGTTATTAATGTGTCCAATGTTCATGCTTGTCTGTTTAGGTCTACATGTTCGGAATTGTTTTAACCCATGCTATACCAAAGTATCACAAAAATTACAGGACCATAGACTCGTGCAAAGCATAGAAAGTTCCGTACGTAATTGGAGCCGTTTTTGCAACAAAATTGCTTAAAAAGTATATACATTTCATGCAAAATTCAGGTAAACGTCTCATATTTTCGAAAAATTGGGACATGGCCTTATTTCAAGATTTATCTTTGAATTACAGGTTTTAATAAAACACTACCTTCAATTTTACTTTTAAATATTTCTTTTTAATTTTCGAAAATTGAAAAAGTTTAACAAAATTGAGACGTACGCCATTTTTGCTCTCTGAGGAAAAAGTTAAATCTAGGAATGTGGTGTTATTTTTTTGAACATTTTGAAAATGTTTTTGAAGTTCATGTAATTTACACCACAAATCAAAATATCCATTCAAAATTCGCAGAGCTGGAGTTTGTTCAAATCAAAAGGGCAAAATCAATTTAGGAAAAAGTCGTCTGAGCCTTTTAAGCGCAAACGTTGTGCACACACAGTCAGACATTTTGGTGTCGATCGATTTTTCGGTATCAAGCACTGACAAAAGGTGGATTTTGACTACAAGAAAAAGTAATTTACTACATATTTATTATACATACAAGATCTATGAATTTTTTTCAATAACAGGACTCCAAAATATGATGTTTGTTGAAAACTCGTCGACATTTGCAGCAGCATTACTTTCGTATACGAAAGTATAGTGAGCGTGTATGCAGTAAGGCGAGATAGTAAATATTTTCTCAAAGACGGCTCTCAATTTTTACTTTCTCGATACGGAGTAGATAAATTCAGATGTTAAATTTAGAAAAATGCTGTATCACATGGTATAGCCAGAATACATGTTTTATGGGTCCTTGATACCAAAAAATCGAATGACGGCAATATGTCTGGCTGTCTCTCTGTGAACAACGCTAGCAACTAAACCGTTCAGACGATTTTCTCCAAAACTGATATTCCGTATTCGATCTATCAGATGTCGCGGCTCCTTGAATTTGAAATTAATATTTTGATTCGGAAGGGTACTTAATATGAAGCCCCTGGGACATTTTACAAATTAAAAAAAAAATATTGCTCCATCATTTTTGACTAAATTGTGTTGCTGGATAGTGAAAAGAACGTTTAAGAGAATGGTACAGGTCTCATGTTCGTTAAAACCCCTGATTTTTCGAAAATAGCAATAGTTCAAAAAAATTTCAGTCTTCCTATAACTAAAATATTAATGATAGAGGTTATTTTCCTTAATGACATTTGTTCGTAGAGATATAATATTTTGAAATAAGGTCATGTACAATTTTTCGAAAACTTGAGTAATTTTCGCGTAGTTTGGGGTGAAAATATCGATAAGAAAGTACATGTTTTAGAATCACTGTTTTTTTTTACATTTTTTCTCGGATAGAGCAAATGACGCTTAAAAATGGCGCAGGTTCCATTTTCGTCAAAGTATCTGTATTTACAAAAATTGCAAACAAAAGAAAATTATAAAATTAAAAAAATTGATGATTGAGATTTTTTCTCCTAAATGAAATCTGTTCTTTGAAATTACATACAAAAATAACGTAAATGAAAATCTCTGAATTTTTTGAAAATTACAAATGCAAATGTTCAACTTTTTATAAGTGCGGGGAAGGTAGTTTTTTGCTGAGGGAGTGTGGAAGAGATCTGAACTTCAAGTTAACTCTTAAGATGCCGATGTCTTATCGGAGAAAAGCACGAAGACAAAATGTTTGCTGATTGGAAATAGTTTCGCAGGTTCGTTTATTATTATATTACAAATAATGCGAGGAAGTATGTGTTTTTTGACCACCACGCAATCCAACAATTTGGAGCCATTTTTGAGAAAATTTTGAAAATGTTAGTTTTATGTGAAGTTCACCCTAAAATCAAAATGTCCGTTTCAAATTCAGAGGGTCTGGAGTGCATTTAAATTGATCGCGGAATATCAACTTAGGAGAAAATTAGCTAAAAGGTTTTGATGGTAGCTTTGACCACAAGCGGACAGACCTTTTTGCTGGCAATCGATTTTTCAGTATCAAGGATACACAAAACGAGTCTGACAACACATGTTAGAGGAAGTAATTTACTCTTCCTAGGAACATGATTTACCCTCTTTTTCGTTTCCAGAGCCGTTTTTCTGTCATAATAGCTTTTCTATCGAAAATTCGCCCGTTACCGGCACACGATTACAATACTTTTTCTTCTTACGAAGTAAAGGCAGGAAAGAAAAAATGAGGCTTGATTTTGACCTGGACCTGTTGAAAGGTCCCTTATTAGACAATGTCAATTCAATTATAATTATTGTTTTTTATTCTTTTTACAAATATTAATGTCACTGCAATTTCATCTCTTTACCTTTGAAAATAAGCTTTTACTCTCCAATAGTTCTTGCCCCGAGTGAAAATTAACCTAGTCACGTCCCCTAATGTAAAGGAAGAATATCATGAAGCTCTTTACGTTCGTTGTGCAAGTCGTTCGTTAAATTAAGGTATTGTGAGGTCAATTCCAAAACTCTCGGAACAATTAAAGAGGTAATTAGTTATTTCCAAACTTATAGTAAATGGCGAAACATTCTAAAAATACGAAAACCATAATCTTTAATCGGAAATGAAGTAAGATTATTTAACAAAATCATGTAAAACAAAATGAACAGAGCCGGTCCGGATGGCCGAGATCGCTAAGGCAGTAGTGCCGTAGTGATCTCGAACCGAAGAATCGCGGGTTTGAGTCCATACCGTTACAAGCAATAGTGGTCGCTAATGACCTAGCAGTTGATGCGATCTCAAATGCCACAAAAAATGCGGGAAAAACTCTCCGGGCGGGAATGCCGCTACTGCATTCTTAAATTTGTTTGCTTGAAATATTTCAATTATTAGGACATTAAAGATACGGAGGAAAAAATATAAAACAAAGTCTCTACATTCAAACAGATCACAAAAAAATGTAATTTCATGATTGAGTTGGTTGTGATTCACGAATTACTTTATTTTACAAATTCACTATCTGTTTACTTGCAAGGCATTGATAACATTGTCAGGTGCCATTTTACGAATTCACTTTTGTTTTGTATAAATTATTTTCATTATGAATAATATTTAAAAGCATTATTTGAACTTGATTTTCGAATGGGTAAATCTGAGAACGAAGAAGCAGCGGTTTATGTTTTCACATCCCAGCACCAAGCAATTTTGGAATGACGCAAAGGCAAACGTTTCCTTTTCAATATTATATGTATTATTACTCTCTAAATTTTCGAAGGAATAGGTAGTACACCTTTTTATACCATTAGCAGTTTCAACATTAACGAAGAGTTAATTTCACCTTTCAGGTAAAATTCCATATTCTATTTGTTCTAAAGTGAGGTAAATCACAGCAAGTGTAATGCAATTACATCAGATTACTGTAGTTTTAGAGGTTTGAACTGTAAATGTAGCATTACAGCTGTAAAAAAGAATTTGATAAAATGAATATCCAATTAGGCGAATCTCCCATATTACCGGTGACACCGATTGCCAGAACAGGCGGTATGCTTGACCCACTTTCACTCCGATAATCGATGTTTTTTACAATATTATTTTTATCCGGACCAGCGCAATTATATGAATGTAAATAGTTACCTTGGGTACGAATACGGTGGGTATACGAAAGCTCTTTCATGAGCAAGAACGTGACCTACCAAACACCAATTAGTGATGGATTGCCTACCTATGGATTGTCAGAGGTAAATAATTGAGACACATCCATCCACCCCCGGTAAACGTCAGCTACGCCACTGACTGTAACAAGTATTGTACTTCAGATTTGAAATCAATGACGTCTTTCTCGATCAAGTTCTTCGTCCATTTTCCCTTGACCCTCTGAACAAATGTTGATATTGAGTTGTTTTTTTTGGTTTGGTCGCTTTTTAACATCTTGGTCACATAGCAACCACTATGATTATTTTAACTGTAGGAACAGCACTTACGGACGACACAAGGGACTCGAACCCGCGACCCTTCGATCAGAGGGGTCTACGGTCCTTCAGCCGTAGAATCCTCGGCTATCCAGACAGGCGGGATGTAGCATTGTTTGCTTTTGGATGTAAATGCACATTTACAATAACATTACGCAAGTTTTCTTCAGATTTGTAAGGTGTTAGGTAGAATATATTTATTTCGTGAACAGTTACATCAATGTTCTCGCGATAGTGAATCGTTTTATGTATATGGGCAGCAATAAGGGATGAGACAAAAATATGTCGCCTACTGATTCAAGAGAGTTTGTGTATCTTTAGTGTGACTAGTTTAAGAACATTGTTCTTCTTTGGTCCTATCTTCCATATACGGAAGTTACGTGACCCATAACGGGTTTTCTTGGCATAAATTATTCAGGGTGGTTTCCCGTTGCCTTTCCTGATATGATGATGATGATATGGGGTGAAAGGACGAACACAATACAACCATGCCCAAGGCGGGACTCGATCTCGCGATCTTTCGGTACGAGATCACAACGGCACTACTGCCTTAGCGATCTCGGCCACCGTATCGACTTAAGAACATTAGGAGAAGTGAAATTTACAAATATGACGATCATGTCAAAATA